TGTTTGCAAATGATATATCCAATAAGGGGTTAATATCAAAAGTATATAAAGAACTTACATAACTCAACACCAAAAACCAAATAATCCAATTAAAAATAGGCAGAGAACCTAAATAGGCATTTTTCCAAAGAAGACCTACAGATTGCCAACAGAGACATGAAAAGATGTTCAAAAACACTAATTATCATAAAAATGTAAATCAAAACCATCAGGAGATATCATCTGTCAGAATTGCTAATATCAAAAAGACAAGAAACAACAAGGATTGGCAAGGATATGGAGAAAAGGAAACCCTCCTACACTGTTGGTGGGAATGTAGATCGGTGCTACCGCTGTGGGAAACAGTATAGAAATCTCTCAAAAAAGTAAAAATAGAAATATAATATAATTCAGTATTGTACAACTGGGTATTTATCCAAAGAAAATGAAAACACTAATTCAAAAAGATATATGCAACCTATATTTATTGCAGCATTATTTACAGTAGCCAACATAGGGAAGCAGCCTAAGTGTTCATTGATAGATGAATGGATAAAGAAGATCTTCTTTATATATGTCACATATATATGTCACATCTTCTTTACACACACACACACACACACACACACACACACACACACACTGGAATATTACTCAGCCATAACAAAGAATGAGATCTTGCCATTTGTGGCAACATGGTTGGACCTAAGGAGTATTATGCTAAGTGAAATAAGTCAAACAGAGAAAGACAAATACCACGTGATTTCACTTACATGTGGAATCTAAAAAACAAAAAAAAAATGAATAAATAAACAAACCAAAAAACAGAAATAGACCCGTAAACCCATAGAACAAACTGGTGGTTGCCAGAGTGAAAAGGGTGGGGGGAGATGGGCAAAATGGGTAAAGGGGAGTGGGGGGTATAGGTTTTTGTTATGGAATGATAAATCATGGGGATGAAAGTCAAGGAATGTAGTCAATGGGATTACAGTAGTGTTCTATGGTGACAGATGGTAGCTATACTTGTGGTGAGCATAGCATAATGTGTAAAGTTGTTGAATTACTATGTGTATGCCTGAAATTAATGTAACATTGTGTGTCAACTATACTTCAATAAAAAATGTATAAGTAAACCATGTTAGAATTTTAATATGGAAGGGATTTTGTGCATAAGATTACTATAGGTGTTGGGACAGTAGGGAAACAAAAGAGGATCTAAGTTACCCAGAGTTAGAAACAGTAGAAAATTGTTGCCACTTCTAGGGCCAGAAGGTCAAAACAAAGAGGCAGTTTTACAAGAATCTAGGAGTTGAGGCTATTGGTGGGGGCTTAGCTTGGCATGCACTGGACCGCAGAAAAAGGGCATATGTGGACATAGATGGAGCCACGGAGAAGACATAGATACTGTTGGATGTGCACAGGAAGCAGAGAGAGGAGAAGTACTGGAGGCTGTCTCTTCTTCCCATTCTTCAGTCTTCTGCCAGAGCCTTCCATTGGCAGAAGCTCCCAGAAGCCAGGGGGAATGTGAGCCTGGCAAACCTAGATCCCTGGTATAGAAAAGGGCAGAACAGTGGGGACCCATCTGAGAGCAAACCACCATTGAACAATATAGTATGCTTACAAGGCGAAACGTTTTCAAAGTTTTTTTTTTTTTACGACTCAAATACATAATTTCTAGACATCTCATTCATTTATTCCTTTATTCAGTGAAAATACACTGAGCTATTAATATAAATTAGACATCAATCTTAGCACTGGGCAAGTAATATACCAATAAAACATATTACTAACATATATGTACTAAAAGAAATCATTAAATTATTTAAAGCAAATGCGTTAGATATACATTTTATCAGACTTTAAATCACCTTTAAAAACCTTAAGTATAATTTACCTACAACATATTAATTTTAGGTCTACAATATAATGATTGGATATCTGTATACATTGCACAACTACCACCACAATAAGTCTAGTTAACATCCATCACCATATATGGTTACAAAATATTTTTCCCTTGGGATCTCAACTTTTAAGATCTACTCTCTTAGCAACTTTCAAATATGCAATATAGTATTATTGGCTATAGTCACTCTGCTGTACATTATATCCTCAGGATTTATTAATTTTATAATAGAAGTTTATACCCTTTGACTCCCTTCACCCATTTTGTACATGACCTATGCCCCACCTCTGACAACTGCCATTCTCTGTATCTATGATTTGTGAATGTTGAACCACCTTGCATCTGTGTAATACATCCCACCTAATCATGGTGTATAATTCCTTTAATATTTGTGGAATTTAGTTTACTAATATTTTGTTGAGGATTTTTGCATCTATATTCATCAGGGACATTGGCCTGTGATTTTCCTTTTTGTGTGTGATGTCCTTGTTTGATTTTGCTAACAGGGTAATGCCAGCCTTATAAAATAATTTTGGAATGTTCCTTCCTTTTCTATTTTTTGGAAGAATTTGAGAAGGATTGGTATTAATCCTGAATGTTTGGTAGAATTCAATAGTGAAGCCATCTGGTCCTAGACTTTTGTTTCTTGGGAGGTTAAAGTTTTTTTGTTTTTGTTTTTCTTATGGAAAAAAAAAGCTATAGAGTGAAATAAAGGGAACTGAGTGTTCTAGGTTAGAAGGAGGCAATAAGTATGGAGGAGACCACACTGAGAAGGTGACATGTGAGCAAAGAATTGAGGTGAGGGAGTTGGCTAAATAATTGTCTAGGGTAAGGATATTATATTCCAAAGAGAAAAGAGCTAGAACAAATGCATAACGTGAGATGGAATCTGCCTGCCAGCTCATATTAGAGGAATAGTGAGGAGGGTTACTAGAGCACAATGAAAATCTGAGTGGCCAATGATGTAGCCTGAGAGGAATGGGAGCCAGGTCATACTAGCATTTAGGAAGTGTGGCTTTTGCTGTGAGTAAAATTAGGGCCCATTGCATGGTTTAATCAAGAAGGGACATTTGAATATGTGATTTATATACAGGTTTTTTCAAAGGTTGGATTTAAAACATACCATTCGTGGACTCTGAAAAAAATACTAGATGTTATAATTCAGCAAGAAGAAAAATTAGTTCAGCAGAAAGGGGCGAGATGCAATGGTGAATAAAATCTAGAACTAAATTAGTACTAATTGAGGAAGTGTTTTAAAAGAATTATCTGGAATTAGAATTCCAGATGATTTCAATATGGAAGTGGGGCAGCAGGTGGTGGGGGGAGTAGAGAGGTATAAAAAACTTTATGCTTCTTGCCCAGTCTTGGCAGGGAGAGATATAGAAAAGGACCTGATTAGAAAAAAATGTTTGTGACTTAAACATTTTTTAAAGATTTTATTTATTTATTCATGAGAGACACAGAGAGAGAGGCAGAGACACAGGCAGAGGGAGAAGCAGGCTCCATTCAGGGAGCCGGACGTAGGACTCGATCCCAGGTCTCCAGGATCACGCCCTGGGCTGACGGTGGCGCTAAACTGCTGAGCTAAACTTAAGCCCTGGGCTGCCCTGGCTTAAACATTTAAAGCTTAAAATTAAAGGGTAAAAGTTAAAGGATAAATTACTAAAAGAATATAGAATATATAAATTTCTAACTAGTAGAAGAAAAAACTGGAATTTAGGAGACTTAATTCAACAAATCAGGAAAAAGGTATGTAGGTGGTAGTACTGGTTTAAGAAACTGATGCCTTGGAAAAGAAAAAGCAAAATTAGATAGCAAAAATATGTTCGGCATAGAGTTACCATTTGACCCAGTAATCCACTCCTAGGTATCCACCTGAGAGAACTGAAAACACCTATCTATACAAAACTGCACACAAATGTTTATGGCAGCATTATTCATAGTAGCCAAGAGGTGGAAATAACCCTAATGTCCATTGATAGATGAATGTATAAACAAAATATAGTATATCTATTCACTGGAATATTATTGATCCATAGCAAAGAATAAAGTGCTTATATGTCACTTTGTATGGATGAATCATAAAAACATAAGTGAAAGAAGACAGTCACAAAAGACCACATATTACGTGATTCCATTTATATGAAATGTTCAGAACAGGCAAATCTATAGATACATAAAGTAGACTAGAGGTTGCTTATAGTGAGGAACATGGGGATGGTAGGGAGAGATAGCTAAAGGGCAGAAATATAGAGAGAAACTAACAAATCCATAATAGTGACAGAATGATTAATTTCTCTATGAGTTCTTATTGTTGGGTGTGGTGGGTTCCTCTTCATTTTTCATAGAGCCTGGTACATTAGTGGGCATTTTGCTAATTCATTCATCAAATGTTGATGGGCATTGGTGATCTAACACTGCATGTGATGGACTTGCTTCTGCCCTCACAGAGCACCAGATGGCTGCAGTCACTTGGGAAGTATTAATTGACTGAGAACCTGGGGACACATGTTGTCAGAATGGACTTCCAATGCACATGGTGGGCAATGAGCAGAAAGAAAACCAGGCTTCCATTTTAACTACATATTTAGTGCTGGTGAAATACAATGAATCATCATTATTACCTTTAGAAATGCTGCAGTATTCTTCTTGTCTTTTGTTTCTCATTACTTGAAATATAGACATCCTCACAATTACTTGCAGAATGTTTAAAAACAAAAGCTTCAAAGTAATCAGTGGAGTGATAAAGCCAATGAAGACTTTCCAAGTTTTATTAGAGCTCTACTTGGCCAAGATTTATGTATTTATGTATGTGTGTGTGTGTGGTATATATGGTATATATGTATTTTTTTCTTTTTTTACTGCACTGATTTTTATTTATTTTTCCAGCCTTATTGTGACATTATTAACATACAACATATGTAAGTTTAAAGCTTACAACATAGGTAGTACTTTTGGGGAGTGCTCAGCAGCTGAGCTTTACACATGGACTTTGTCATTCTTCCATGGACAAAATTTTCGCAGCTTATCAGTACTGTGCCACTTACCAGCTGTGTGATCTCAGGAGCTGACATTCAATAAATCTGGAGGTTCTACCAAAAGCCAACTGAGATACCTCACTGGCAATTTTAGATTCTCAGCGAGGAAACAGCATATTCCTGTAAGGCCTCTGGAACCTCCTGCCCAGAGGTGTTTGCAACGTTCACATTCAGGACTTAAGATGTCTTCATCAGTCAGGCTTCTCAGAAGACAATATGGGAGATCTTCAGTAGCTAAAAGGAAGAGAAGAATGATTATCAATGCAAAAGGCAGCTTCAGAAGCAGCCCCCAGAGCCAGCTTCATGCTCAGGAGAGAATGCTATGCCTTGTCCTCAAGGTTTTGGCAGTAAGCCATAGAAACCTTTTCTTCCAACTTATTCTCCCAAAGAGAACTACTTAAAGGAGAGTGAAGACATGCTAAGCATTAAATAATCAGCCACATTACAGCAGAATGTGGCTGATTATTCAAAAGTGAATGAAGAGAACCATGAGTGATACCAATATACTCAGGTGATGCCAGCAGCAGGGACACTCAGAAAGCAGGGCACTTTTATCAAGTGGTTCAGAAAGAAGGTGATTGAGAGATGCCTTTGGATAGTGTTATAGTTTCTATCAACAAAGGACACGGGGAATATGCAGCACTCATAGGTCATCAGTGGCAGGATCATGGCTTTGTGGTGGAAATGGCTCACCTCCCTGCCAAGTTGAGTCTTGCACAAGCACCCTAGAAAGTTAAAGATGATGGGTCCCCATTTTGCATTCTTGTTGAACAGTCTAATGTAAAACTTTCTTCTTGTACCACAATTATGCTTCATGGGTCTATCAAAATGCATCTTATATGCCCCTGGACAATGCCTTAGCTAAAGAATACAGAAGATTTTTCTCTACACAGGGGCAGCATCAATGTGCTGAATTGCTCTGTAGCCATGAGATCTGGTGGAGGACTTCTTGGCTTGGGAGTGGCTTGGCTTGGGCCTCATCAGTTATTCTGTGCCTTCTGGCATTCAGTACCTTCTCTTCCTGTTGACTGAGAGAAAGCATTTGTACAGGAGTGACTTGAACTTCTCATTGACCACCAGAAGACCAGGAAAGGGTAACTAGAAGGCTTGGAGACCCTGGAGTCTTTGATTAGCAATGATCACTCCTCATTTCAAGGCAGGAATACAGCCATTGAGGGCAAGCCACCTCCACTTCTTCCAACCTCTGGAAAGTGATTCTTTTCAGGCCTTCATTCCCCCCTTCCTGCCATGTCCCCATTGTTAGGAGACAGACCAGGAGGAGCTCTCCTTCCACAACAGGATTGGTCAATCTCAAAGGTCTGTTTTCCCTCCCCTGCTTCTAGCAGTGCCCTCCAAGAGAGCTGTCCCTTTGGGATGCCCCCAAGTGTGCCAATCATTCACTATTTGGGGGAGAAACCAGACCTTCTAGAACCCACTGTCAGTTCTTCAGTCAGTGTTGCACAAGCAGACAGCTCAACCCTAGTCTTTGCTGGGGGAAAGCTCCACTGAGCCAGGAGAACAGGTGGCAGCTGCCCAGATGGTGACTTCACCCTCTTCAAGGATCAAGGCTGCTGTTAGACCTGCAGGACTAACGTCCAGGCTGTGGGTACCAACGTGCTTCCTTTCTGTCTCATACATGGTCCTGTGGAAATGTTTTTCATGTTTGAACTCTCTTTATGCCAAACTAGGGATTTGTGGGAGGTCATTGTTGTAGATACTGGATCTTGAAGCTGTTTGATTATATACATATTAAAATATAATAAAAATTTCTGGGTTTTACATTACTGGTTGCCACTTTTTAAGACTTTTTTTGAAATAATTTTAGATCTATAGAAAATTCCCAAAGATAGCACAAGGAGTTCCCTTTATCCAGCTTTCTCTAATGTTAAAATCTTATATAACTATAGTATCTTTATTAAGACATTAGCATTGGTACAATAATATTAACTATATGATAGATATAATTCCTATTTTACCAGGTTTTCTGCTAATGTTGTTGCTCTGTTTCAGGAACTATCTGGGTACCATATTGCATTTAGCCTCCTTTTAACCAAATCACATTCCAGTGTTTTTATTATGAAACATTTTAAATATATAGAAAATTTGAATGATGAGTACTATGCACACCTCTATATTCTGCATCAGTTGTTAATATTCTGCCATTTCTTAAGTTGTACCATATATTTGTGTGACTACAATTTCTTTCTCAACCATGAAAGGAAGTTACAGAGTTCATGACATCCCACTTTTAAATGCTTTAGCCTTTAGCATTCGTCTCCTATGAATGGGAACATTCTCCTATATAATTATGATCTGTTATCACACCTTAAAAATTAATAATCATTCTATAATATTTAATATCTAGTTCCCTGATTTGAATTTTCCCATTTGTCCCCAAAAAGCTTTTATAGCCTTTTTTAAAAATCAGGATTTAATTAAAGTCTGTGCTTTACATTAAAAAAATAATCTCCCTATTTTATTTTTTATTAACTAGGCTCTGCACCCAATTTTTTTAAAAATATTTTACTTATTTATTCATGAGAGACACACACACACACATATAGATAGAGATAGAGAGAGAGAGAGAGAGAGAGGCAGAGACACAGGCAGAGGGAGAAGCAGGCTCCAGGCAGGGAGCCTGACCTGGGACTTGATCCCGGGTCTCCAGGCAGCGCTAAACCACTGAGCCACCCAGGCTGCCCCTGCACCCAATTTTTTAAAAGAGTAATCTCCCTATCTTATTTTTTATTGAGCAGGCTCTATACCCAACATAGGGCTTGAACTCATAATCCCAAGATTAAGAGCTGCATGCTCTACTGCCTGAGCCAGCTAGGCTGACACATTTGATTTTTATCTGTGCTTAGTTTCTTTTAATCTAGAATAGTCTTCCTACTTCTTCCCCCCGTCCTCCCATCCCCCCGCCCAGTAATACTGACTTTGCATCCAAGCCACTTGCAGAGTATCCTACATTCTGGATTTTTCTGATTGTTTCTTCATGGTGTCACTTAACTGTTTTATTTCCTGTATTTTCTGTATCCTGGAAATTTAGTCTAAAGGCTTGATTAGATTCAAGTCATACATTTTGGCAAAGATATTTCGTAGGTGGTGCTAATTCCCATTGCATTGTATCACAAATCATGCAACAATTATCCTGCTGATATGTGCTATGCCTGGTCCCAAGGTGGTAACTGCCATGGAATAGATAGGTTTTTCCTTGAGGCATGATACTTTGCAATCAAGCAAATATCCTATTCCCCAACAATTTAAAAAATTTATTTATTCAGAGAGAGAGAGAGGCAGAGACACAGGCAGAGGGAGAATCAGGCTCCATGCAGGGAGCCCCACATGGGGCTAGATACCAGGTCTCCAGGATCACACCCCAGGCTGCAGGCAGCGCTAAAGCGCTGTGCCACCGGGGCTGCCCCTTTTTTCTTAATTGTTTCAGTGTCCATGGATGTTTCTTTCCTGATTCAACTATTTATATTGGACCCATCCTTCTTTTAATTAAAATATAACATCTTAAGTGTGCAGTTTACTGTTTTAAAAATTGTACAGACCCAGATAACCAGCACTCAAAGCAAGGTACAGACGTTTCCATCACTTACGAATATCTCAGGAACTCCCTTATCTCTCCTCAGCCCTTTCTAACCTCTATCACTTTGGTTTTGTCTGTCTTATAGTTTACATAAATGAATTACTGTGGTGATCATTTCACAATGTATACAAATACTGAGTCATTATGTTGTACACCTGAAACAAATATAATATTGTATGTCAATTATATATCAACAACAAAATATAAATTAAAAATAATTTTTATAGACATGCAAAAAATAAAATGTACAATATGATTACTTTATACACATATCTATTGTGAAATGACTGTAAATTTGGGATATTTTGATTTCTGCTTTGAAATGTGAATTCAGGTGTCTGTAGGCTTAGTCTTGACTCTGTATCTGGTTTAATTTCTGTGACTTTACAAAGATCAAGTAATCACTCCTGGGTGCTGAAAGCTGTATCAGCTTCAAATACCTCTCATATCATGTTAACTAGCTCTTCAAAAAGAGAAAATGCAAGGAAGTACTTTGGATGTAAACAAGTTAATTATTTTTTATTTTGCCTCACCCAGAGTTCATAATGTGACCGTGAAAATGAATCCTAGCCAATCTAGTCTTTCTTTAGGGAATCTGCCTAATATTTATACAGTGATTTCCGTCCACATTGGGTTTTGGGTCTTTCTGCCCTTCCTCCTACTGATGGGAAGACTCTCAGCATAATCTTTTGAGGGACAATTGAGCATTTACCACATCTGTTCCACTGACCCCACTTCTCTAACCCTGGTTATCTGGACATTGAGTAAAGTGACCCAAAGGAAGTCCAAATATACACTAGTCAATGGCCAAGGGGCCTGATTTGATAGCATCAATACAGCCGATCAGACTTCTCTTTGGGAGATGTGGAGTTAGCCACATTGTACATTTGGGAAGTGAGCCCAGGAGGCACTAGATAGAAATCTGGAGAAGTGAGAGAGGAGAGAAACGGGTCAGTACAGTGCATCCTCAAGGCAGAGATCACTGTGAGTACCTGGAGTTTAGTTCTGCTGGGAAACTTGGAGGATACTGCAGAACATTGTGATGGCTGATTTTATGTGTTAATTTGGCTAGGCCACCATATCCAGATACTTGATTAAACATTATTTAGGATTTTTCTGTCAAGGTATTTTTTTTTATATTTTATTTTATTTTTTTTTTTTTAAACTTTTTTTTTTTAATTTTTTTTATTTATTTATGATAGTCACACAGAGAGAGAGAGAGAGGCAGAGACACAGGCAGAGGGAGAAGCAGGCTCCATGCACCGGGAGCCCGATGTGGGACTCGATCCCGGGTCTCCAGGATCGCGCCCTGGGCCAAAGGCAGGCGCTAAACCGCTGCGCCACCCAGGGATCCCTATATTTTATTTTTAAAAAAGATGTTATTTATTTATTCACCACACACACACACACACACACACACACACACACACACACACAGACACAGGCAAAGAGAGAAGCAGGCTCTATGCAGGGAGCCTGACATGGGACTCGATCGCGGGTCTCCAGGATCACACCCTGGGCTGAAGGCAGCACTAAACCGCTGAGCCACCTGGGCTGTCTGATTTTTTAGATGATTAACATTTAAATCAGCTGACTTGGAGTAAAGCAGATATTCCCTCCATACTGTTGAGGGCCTGAGTAGAAAGAGACTAACCTCTCCCAAACAAGAAAGGAATTCTGCCGCAGTCTTCCTTTGGATTTGGGCTATTACATCAACTTTTCTCTGGGTCTCCAGCATGCCAGCTGAACCTACAAATTTTGGACTTGCCAGTCTACACAGTCATGTGACCCAATTCCTTAAACTCTCTTTCTCTCTGTCTCTGTCTCTCTCTCTCCACACACACATACACATACACACACATGCACACACACACACACACACATCTCATTACTTCTGTTTCTCTGGAGAATCCTATTCTAAACACACACCTCAGAGTTGTCCTGATCAATCATTGGGCATTAATTTCCTAGCACAATCTGCTGAACACATTGACAGAGGGGCTCTGGTGGCCAATGAATGACCTTGGGTAAAGATTTTCAGGCTCTGGAAGAGAGAAATCTAGCCTATGAGCTTGGAAAGCTGCCTACAGAGTCTGGCTGGGACTGCTGTAGGCCTATGCATTGAGTGGAGATCTTCTAACAAGATATTCCTTCACTGCTTCATAGGAAGCCACGATATAATCCTATGGCATTACTGTTGAACATTGAGCAAGACACTCAACCTCTCTTCCTCACAGCTTTGCTATCCCTCTTCTAAAGTAGAGAAAACAGCAGCTCACAGAGAGGACTGTTTGAGAAAGTAAGGATGCAATACATGAAAACTGATGCACAGTATTTAGTATATACAGCACACTCCATAAATGATAGCTGCTATTATCAGCTATTGGAGCTTCTGAACTCTTCTTTCAGAGCGTGGTCTCCAAAGCAGGTGTTGGAACACTGAGTACTCATTACTCTCCATTTTTCATCATTTCTCTCAGTGACATAGAAACACAGACACAAGGCAAGATTGGACATAGCACAAACATGACCACCCTGCACTTAAATTTGGGCCGCTCTTTTGTCAGTTAAAGGGATTCCCATCAAAGTTAGTCCTTTCCAATTGTCTTCAGCCTTGCTGTTTCTATGACCAATAAACCTAAATGAAAGGTCATATAGCCTTTGTTGAAAATAGATGACTATGTGACTAGTGAAAAGAAAAAGATACAGGAAGTGGAAATAAATTGAGGAGAATGATATGGCCAGCATTTGCATCAGGGTTAGATAAGCTGCAAGCCTAAAAGCTCCTGTGTGAGAGCTTGTGTGAGAATTCTGTGTGTGAGAATTGCCACAGAGAGCATTCGGTTCCCTCCTTCAGGCACAGCGCCGGGTGTCCTTGCTCGCCTGCTGGAAAGAGTAAAAATCTGTGCGCCCACCGCATAGTGAAGGATTGGAGCATGGTACCAGCATTTCAGAAGGTGAACTGCAGAACTCTAAAGACGTTTTTGTTTTCTTTTAATGAGCGGCGGAGAAAATTGAAGACAGCAGGGCCAGGCGGTGGGTG